TCATATGGTTGACAGGAGGGCCAGGATGTAGCAGTGAATTGGCATTGTTTTATGAAAATGGTCCTTTCAATATTGCTAACAACCTGTCTCTTTCATGGAATGACTACGGTTGGGACAAGGTAATTGCAGCTGCTTTTACTTTTCTGATGACGTCGATTTCAAATTTCCTCTGGTACATGATAATTATGCCTCCAGCATAAACAAGTTTTCTGTAACCATTGATCTTTGGCAGGCATCAAATATTATATTCGTTGACCAGCCTACTGGAACTGGCTTCAGTTATACGACAGAGGAGACTGACATTCGCCACGACGAAACTGGAGTCAGCAATGACTTGTATGACTTCTTGCAGGTCAGATTACTTTCATCTACGGTCCTCCTTTTCGTTTCATTATTTGTCAACATATGAAGTTTCACGTTAATGATTTGATATTCACACGATCTCTCTCTCTCTCTCTCTCTCTGATTCTGTAGGCATTTTTCAAAGAGCATCCTCAGTTGACGAAAAATGATTTTTACATAACTGGAGAATCTTATGCTGGGCACTACATTCCAGCATTAGCTTCTCGGGTTCACCAAGGAAACAAAAAGAAAGAAGGAATTCATATAAACCTCAAGGTATGCACCCAATGCCCTCAAATCTTGCTTGTTTTATAGCTGTTTCATAACTGCTGAATTGGTTTCTACTGTTTCTAACCGCTAAAACTTGTTTGATAGGGTTTTGCCATTGGCAATGGTCTAACCCAACCTGACGTTCAGTATAAAGCATACACTGATTATGCTTTGGACAACAAGTTAATCGAAAAACCTGATTACGATAGCATTAACGAGATGATCCCAGGCTGCGAACGAGCAATCAAAGTTTGTGGTATCTTTTCTTACTTCGGCTTCATTTCACCTAGTAGTGGTTTAACAAACCGAAGTGGCACCCGAATTACCAGTACTTGGTTTTATTATATATCGAACTGAAAAGTCCCTTTCCAGGAACTGATGGTGTATCTACTTGTGAGGATGCATTTGACGTCTGCAACAACATATTTCAGAGCATCTTGCAAGTTGCTGGCAATATAAACGTAAGGAAGCACAACCTCCACTATACATCTTTTTTTCTCTAAACAAACAACCTAGCAACACTAATGATGGATCAAGGGAACACGAAAGCATTTTTGATGTAAATGTGAGTTTGTGAACTCTGTTGTCTGCAGTACTATGATATTAGAAAGACATGCGAGGGCAGTCTATGCTACGATTTCTCGAACATGGAAACATTCCTGAACCAGAAAACAGTAAGGGATGCTCTAGGCGTAGGAGATATTGAATTTGTTTCCTGCAGCAGCGTGGTGTATGATGCAATGACAAGGGACTGGATGAGAAATCTTGCAGTAGGAGTTCCTGCTCTCCTAGAGGATGGTATCAAGGTGCTTATTTATGCTGGAGAGGAGGATTTGATATGCAACTGGCTGGGTAAGTCTACATGGTATAACAAACTAATTAGCCCTGTTTTTGATCAGTGACAGCAGTATCATGCTTGTATTTTGCCAGGAAATTCAAGGTGGGTAAATGGTTTGGCATGGTCTGGCCAGAAAGACTTCGGAGCAGCTCCAACAGTTCCATTCATTGTTGAAGGCAGAGAAGCAGGACAGCTGAAAAGTCACGGTCCTCTCAGTTTCCTAAAGGTCATTCTCTCCCCCGTTGTTTTTGTCTGTTGTTTCTGTGTACGATGTGATGATATTTAATTCTTACTCAAGAAACTTTGATCACCTATAACTACCAGGTTCACAATGCTGGTCACATGGTTCCAATGGATCAGCCAAAAGCTGCATTACAAATGCTGAAGAGCTGGATGCAAGGAAAGCTTGCCGTGACTGGCACTAAAGATTGGCTTGCTCCCCAGTAATTTGCCTCCACTGTCTTGGCATTCTCAAGCATTGTCTCACACCCATGGTTTTCAGCAATGATGTTTTGTGCATGTCTCCAATGATAGATTCTGCTAATCTCAATATTCGTGTTCTCAACTCCAGAACAGATACAAAATAAAAGACAGATACAATTTTCATTTATATGTCTTCAGTGTGAGCTCAATGGGTTTGGTACTGGTAATCATTTGTAGACCATGAATCAAATCAAATCAAAACCAATTTAAAAGAAACCAAATTGAACAACTTGACAGCATTGATATCACCCATTTATGATATACAAGACCGGGAAATATAAGCATTACTGTATGTAAAGAGAAATATAGTCTGTTACATAGGTAATCGGCAGACACTTCTCCCAGAGAATGACGATTTCAAGTAAGTTAGGCTGAGCTCTACCCAGTTTATTACTCAAACAATTGATACCCTAAAAAGATATCCTTGAATGCTTAAGACCTGGAATGCATAGCTTAAGACTGTAGTGTCTCTTGATACACACCCCGCAGCCAATTTGCCACTACCAATGAGCAATTATTTTCTTCAGTAGAAAGGAGCCTCGGTGCCTTTGATTTCTCAAGTGTCGTAAACAGAACTCAGAAGCAAAACAAATTATCATTTTAAACCAGTATCCAACCCACAAGACCTCCTTGCCACAAACTACTCTTTTAAGGAAAATTTGGCTAAAACAGATGGCATTGTCAATCCAATGATGAATGGATAAAAGAATCAAGAAGTTGCTGGTTTTACCCCATAGAATTCCTTCAATGATTCAATTGCTGGCTTGAAACCAGACCTCAAAGGTACAATAGAGACAGCTCGCAAGTGTTGTGCATTACCATTCTTTGGTTTGGACAAAGTCATTCTAAACATCTCTCCTTCCAAAATTTTAGCAGCATTGGAAGCTGCATAAAGCCAGGCATACATCCCATCATTGGAATTTGCATTAAAAAAAGAAGATAAAAATAACAAGAAATTTTTCTTTTCTTTTTTTTTCTTTTACCAGCGAAAGGGTGAAGCTTGGAAAAGTGAAAGAAGTCATCAGCAGAGCAGCCAAACAAGACTGTAGCAGCCCTATCAAAGCACATGACATTAAGCACCTTGGTATCCGTGGCTATGGAAACCTGCCCAGAAAACAGAAATCATAAACAGACTCTAGTGACCCTTTATTCCATTATGAAACTTTTGGCAAACTAAATGGTGGGGTGGTAGAAACTTACAAGGACACGAAATAGGCGCTTGGAAGAGGAGGCGGCGGTATTGTTGTGGCAGAATTTGCAAAGGGCATTGAGAGTATCAGGAAGAGTTCTCTCGCAGAGTGAGCAGGCTCTGTAAGAGAGACTGTTGGCGTAGTCCATGCCTATCACTGTACACATTACTGTTGCGGCCTTCTCATAATCCTCCATTGATTCGCTTCCTCAAAGATAGCTATTTTCTTCCTTCCTTTTTGTCTTTCTTTCTTTGTTTTCCGTTCTCTCTCGTTTGGTTGTGCAAGGGGAAAAAGAAGGATAACTTTCATTTTACCCCCTAAATTTATGGATTTTATCAAGGTCTTTCAAAAGGGTTTTTTTTTTAATCACCTAACCTTCAATTTCTTCCACAAGTATAGATAGTTATCGTTTTGACTTTTTAAATAAAATTTTCACATCATTCGATTTCAAGACATACACTAAAAATTTGATTTTAAAAGCAATTTTTCATAAGACAGTAAGAAAGAAAAACAATATAAAATTCAATCGAAAATATATATTGATGTGATACAAATTGTTTTTTCACGGTGTCTAATGAAGACGCATAACAAACTAGATTTTCTTGGAGATTTGGTATGGGTCAGGTTTAATAATGACCCGTGAGATTCCATTTTATTTATGAATTTGTATTCCAATCAGAAGATGTTTCATGGAATTGATAAACCAACTCTTAATAATGGAGTTTTCGGCTCTCCATCGTCTACAAATTGGGTTTGTAGGTGCTGGTTGGGGTAAATCCTTAATGATATAACCTAGTTTGTCTTTTCCGGATGTGTACATCTCCTTAATTTGAGACCATAAAGCATAGATGATATTTTCTAGTTTAATACCAATCTAGGTAGTAAAGTAGTCTGGTATTTAAGTTTGTATTTGAGGAAGGATTTGGTCTATTTTTAAGTGATATTATCTAGGATTTCTGGTGTGTCCGATTTTCATTACAAAATGGTCTGGGATTTTTTTTAAGATTTACAGCAAGATTTCAGCTTTGATACCATGTTAGATCAGATCAATAAGCTTTAAAGACTTAGTTTTTCCATTGATACATTGTATGATTGTATACAACAGAAAACATATCTCAATCTCAACATTTAGTATATGAGATTTTTCAGGCTATTATTTAAAAATTAATACAATCAGAGCTCATGTTAACATGATATCTTTTAAGTATGAAGCTTTGTTGTTTTGATTACGAAATCCATGAGAGAATGTTAGGGAGAATATTTGGTGTGGGAATGCCCTTGAATCCTAAGAAAATCAACCCTCGGTGTTTTCAATTCATATTTTAATTGGGAGGCATGTTTGTGTTTTGATTTGTGAGATGTACCATTAATATGATAATATAAGGTTCTTATGATCTAGGCATACTTTATTTAACTTAGAAATAAATGCTTTGGAAACTAAAAGTTCACTACTGTAGGGTTTCTCTGTGCATTAATTTAAATGGAGCATGTTAGATCTCCTTGATTATATAGAAGATGTAACGTCTCATCTCCATTTTTTGAAAACTGAAGTTCACGGGAAGGGGAACTTGTAAACCCAAACAGTTCCATCTGATTTGATAAATCATGAGCTTGTCATCCATCTCTCAAACACACGGTGGAAAAGATGTGAGCAACTAAAAACTAATGATAAATAACAAGCTGCCATCCATCCCTCTAATACAAAGCAGTAATACACGTTATTCTCTCTATCCTTAATTAAACGGCTGGTTATCAATTGTAAAGTTTCAAGTCTCCACTAATTGGTCAAGGCTCTGCCTAGGGATCTTAAATGGGGAAGAGGAAAGGGAAGCTTAGAGCATCCTAGCAGATGAGTAGTAGCAACCTTGAAAATTAGCACAGCAAAAATGAAGAGGACAGCCTCCTGAATTCATAAATCACTCAAAAAGATTAATGATGTAACATCATAGTCCATAAATCATTGATCACCAAGTTCTCAACTAAATTGGCAGAATTAAACATTTCATCATATGCAGCCAATCCTGCTTAACATAATTTTGGTTCAAAATTGACCAACTTAGACATAAACACCAGAAGCAAGTAACAGGAACAAGGACCCAAAGCCCTGCACCAGCGACATCAGAGATCAGATTGAGCAATGAACCAGAATTAACAATAACAAATCAGAAGGTGATGGGGGAGTAACAAGCATAACAAATCATACCAGAAATAAAGAGGCAATTGCTCCTGTTGTAAGCTCCTTTGCCAAACTGCGATTTCTCCTAGAAGAGGTTGCTTCATAACTGCACAAACAAACCACGCTTGTATAACATCAGAAACGAGATGGCACGTGCTGTTACACAAACAGATCTTTTCATGGTTCATCAACAACATGATTAAACAAAATAGCAGATCTTTTCATAATTCATCTACATGTTTAAATTTAAATAAAACTCTTTGTTCTAGAAAAGAAAACGAAATGCCTGCTCCATAGAGTGTTAATCTTTATTATTACAGTATATTAAGTATGCCGATGATGTTTGTAATAATTAATCTGAAGCAACTTTTGGTGGTATTACCTCATGGAAAACATAAATAGAAGATTAAAATGTGAGAAACAAATCAAATTAAGGCCTCGTTTGTTTGCTTGCCGAAAAGTTCCATGGAGGAAAACGTTTTCCTAATAATAACAAAAAGCCTTAATTTTTAAGCTGTGACTAGTAACCATTTCCATTGACTAACTTTCCTAAAATTCAACGTGGGAAAATCTAGAAAGTGGTTTCCAGAAACATTCTATGAAAAACAAATACAAAAAAGCCCTAAATTAAAATCACAAATCACCTTGACTGGTAATTGAATTTTTTTGGGCAAATTACATCACATGTAGATCTGATCTAGTGGAGGAAAGGAACTGCTAATGAAGCAAAAGCACAACAATAATTCCAGCAACAATTCATTTCAGCATAGCTTAGCTTACATGAAGAAGGAAGCAGTGACAATAAGGCCGATGGCCAGCATGAAGACTGCTAGGGTTGGGTACCATGCCACCGGGACTGGACTCGATATTGCTGCTGCCTTTGAACCCTTCAATTCAATAAGAAAAAAAAAATCAAGAAGCAGAACAACTACGTAAATCAATCCAATTCTCAGCTATTAAAATAAAAAAATAATAAAAGCAATTGATCTTCTACCATTGACTTGTATCAGTGCTGTTTGTTTTGAGAGATGTTTTGGTCTCGTTATTCACTTGACGACGCCCCCAGACTTACTCTGCTCTGCTTGAATGCTTGGCATCATAAAATTAAAAGTAGTAATAAAAGGAGGGACTGCGGACTTCTACTTTGGGCCGATATTCAGTTGGGTGTAGCCTTTTCTTGTTAATGCGATGGCCCAGGGTAGTTGGACTTGCTTCCTTAGTCCAGCCCGTTTTAATATTGGAGAGGAGATTAGCACTAAGAATTGGGATACTTTTTATTTTTTTTAACTATGGTCTATTTATTTATCGGAAAGTATTTATTTCATGAAAAGTGAATTTAGTGGAAAGTTTATTCCTTTTATATAGGAAAATGTTTTCCTAGAAAAAATGTTTATTTTTTAAATTGAGAGGCTTTAGAATTGCATATGTCCATTGATTTTCCAACCCAACCCCCAGTGATTAAGAGAATAATTATTAAAAATTTACCCATGGTCAATTTAATATTCCATTAAGTGTGCGATGAAAACCTCCGGACTTCTCATGATAATTTTACTTTTAAAAGTGGTTGTTCATCCGTGAATGCATCCATGAATATTATATAAATAAGGTCCGTTTGTTTATTGAAAAATAGGGTTTTTAAATAATAAATGTTAAAAAAATAAATTATTTTTTAATATTTAGTAGTATAATAAAAAATAAATTGAAAAACACTTTTCAATAATTGATCATCTCATGAAAAAAGAGCTGAAAAATAATTTGTTAATATTTTATTTTTTTAATTTTATTAAAATAATGAGAAATTTTTTTGACAAATTAAAAATTTAAATGAGAATGAAATTAAGAAAAAAAAATATAATTTCATAAATTATTTCAAATAAAATAAATAATAATTAAAATAATAAAGATCAAATCTAACAAATAAAAAAATTAAAAGATGAAGAAATTCAAATAATAATAATTACCATTTCATAAATTATTTCAAATAAAATAAGTAATAATTAAAAGAATGAGGACCAAATTTGATATATAAAAAATTTCAATTAAAAAATAATAAGAAAAAACAAATAAAAATGATAAAAATAAGGACCAAAATTAATATAAAAATTAAATTTTACAGAATAAAATTAAAAAAAAATATTAAAAATAAAATACATATAACAATCAAAAGTTTGAGAACCAAATTTGATATAATTAGCCAATAATATAACATTTCTAAATTTTTCATAACTTTTTGAAAAGTGTTTCCATCCAAAATAAAAGAAAAGTTTTTTTTAAAAAATAAATAAATTTTTTCAACTGAAAAATACTTTTTATTTATTTTTTTAATAATAAATAAACACATAAAAAATTAAAAAATAATAATGAAGCTTAAAAGTAGTGGGCTCAAAATGTTTGAAGCAAAGCTGAGAACTGAGATGGGCTATGAGCTGCGGGCCTTCGTGAATAGTGAAAACTCTATGTTTGATGTCAAATGGGTGCGGCTGCCTCAGTACGATACATGGGGAGAGCATCATTCGCAGTAAACTGCATGCACGGTGTAAAAAATAGTCTTCACTTTTTAAAAGAATTTGAAGATGTCGTTTTTGGAATGAATTCTTTAAAAAAGTGAAGACTATTTATTTTCTTTGATTGAAAACAACATTGAACACGCAATTCAAAGAATTTTAATAAATTTTAAAAGTTTTATATCGTGTGTTTGTGGGTAAATTTATTGTAAACACGAACAATATTTTTTCTTTCTTGGCCTTAAATAAAAATTTCAGGGTTGTATAGTGAATTTACAACACTATCCTTAAAAGAAATCAATTTTTGAATTTATACCTAGGGATAGTTTTATATTTTCAATCACAAACATATGATAAAATAATATTTTTACTCTCAAAATAAAATAAAACTAACCAGAAAATGAAGGGACTTTTCATTATTTTTAATATTGTTGTAGAGTAAAAAGATCTTGGTGTCTTTGATGTCAAATAATTTAACTCTTAGATTAAAAGGTATTCGTTTTTCTTGTAATTAATTGGTTGGGTGGGTTCATTTGAGTGTTTTAATAATTAAAAAAATTAGTGTGTATTACACAGGTATCAACGTGTCAATTTTTGTTGTTGTGACAATGCATGTAATTGATCACAGTAGCCAAAAAAGCTATTCTAATGTGACTTCAGAATCATCTCAACATCTCCTCCTAAAATATGTGACGTGTGTATTGATATGAGGTCTGTTTGTCATTAATAACTATTTTTTTTCTTTCCTTTCTCTTTCTCAGCACCCTAGCTCCTAATTTTTCAAGTCATTCCCTAAACTTCTATTTTTTTGCAATGTAGTCCTTATTTTTTAGTTATATATATATTTTTAAATAATTCATTGAATTATATTTTTTTTTTCAATTTCAAACTTATTCAATTTTTTACTTTGTCGAATTTGATCCTTATTTTTTTATTGTTATTTTTTTATAGTCTAAGAGAGTTTTTGGAGTTTTTTTTTATTTCACCTTCTGTAATTTTTTTCCTGATAAATTTTATTCTTTTTCTTTTGATTATTTTTTTTTCTTTGTAAAATTTTCAAAAGTGATATTTTTTTTACCGAATTTAATTCTTCAATATTTATTTGGTTTGAATTTGAACTTGGTTAAGCTTATGTCTTATATTTTATGAGTTGCAAGTTTTAAAAATTAACCTAACTTTATGAGGTTTGCCCAAGATTGCTTTTGTTTTTTTTTATAATCTTTTTAAGCTAGTGTTTTTTTATTTTATTTCATCTTTCAATATTTATTTAATTGGAGGTTGAGCTTTTTTCTTCATGCTCTTTATAAATTTGGTTTTATCATTTTTTTTATTTTATTGGGTTACCTCATGTATTTTTATTTGTTATTCTTTGTTAATTTTATTTTTTAAAATAAATTTTATTCTTGAATGAAATAGAATTGGTTTATTGAATATAGATAGATGGTCACTTCATTTTGTTTTGTTTATTTTTTTTTCAGGATTTTTTCTAGTAACCCAACAACACAGGTCATAAAACCAAGATGATCTCGAAAAAGGCAAAAACAAAAAAAATCTTGAACAAGATTCTTAACCATCAAAAAATAAATAGCGATTAAAATAATAAGAACAAAATATGATATAAAAACTAATGAAAGAAAATAATGAGGGACTAAATTAAAAAATAAAAAATTAAGAAAAAGATAAGAAAAAAGAGAAATTAAAAGAATGAAGATGAAAATTGGATAAAAAATGCAATAAAATATTGAGAGAGAAATTAAAAGAAAAAAATAATAAAAAAATAAAAAGAAGAAATTAAAAGAATGTGGACCAAATCTATATATATAAAAAAATGAAATAAAATATTGAGGACCAAAAATGAAAGAAAAAAATTAAAAAAAGGATAAAAAATAACAATAAAAAAATGAATATCTTATTTGATATAAAAACTAAACAAAATCAAATAAAAAAGGATGAATTTGATTTTAAAAAAAAATCCAAAAAAAATAAATACTAATAAAAAAATCATCACAATTGAAAGACAAAATAAATAGAAAGAAAATCCTGTTTTTTGACTAATCTGATGTGAATTTCAATAAAAGAAGAAAGATAAAAGAGAGGAGAGAAAAGAACTTATTCACCACTGAATTGTTGAGAACTGAATAACACGAGCCATCCCAAAAAAATATGTTTTCACTAGGTGTGTTGTCTAGAAAAAAAAGGGCAATGTCCTCTCACTATTGTGTGCATGACACTTGTCATTAATTTGTTTATTTAAATTTATAAAAATAATAATTTACTCCTAATCCAAATAGAGTATAAAAAAAATGATGAAAATATTAAAATATCTTTTGATTTTGACTTATTCTTTATTATTATTTTTTATCTTGAAAGATAATGAAGTAATTATATTAACTTTTTATTTTTTTTGCATTTCGATAGTATCTATGTAATTTAATCGTGAAAAAAATATAAACTTACTAAATTGTCCGGAATCAATTTGCAAATAATATTTATATTCCATGAAAAACACGATTTTATCCTCGCTAATAAGATAATTATTTTTCCGTAGAAAAAGGAAAAGAAGTTAAAAGACTACAAATCCCGGTGTCTTCCTCACCATCCGCGGTGCACCCAATTGCACAACCCTCCTCTTTTATTTTTTTAATATAATAATTAATATAAAAAACAAAGCACGAATCATCCTAAGGTTGATTGTCTTGCTCTTATTTTGTCTGGTACACGTTCGCCATCTGTGGCATCATCATCAAGACAGCAACAGCGAGACTGATGTTTGTCCGTCTTTAGTCCCTCCTCGAATCCCAGACGAGACTTGTTTGACTTTTGTTCTTGTTTGTTGCATGGAGAAGCCCCTCTTTTTTTCTGAAATTGCATTTTGGTCCTCATCTGTTTTGGTTTTCTCTAGGCTAGCGACGACCTTTTCCAAAGATTTTTTCCCCATTTTTTATATATATTCGATAATGATGGGTGGAAGAGGCTCTGGTTACTGTTCTTCAGCGTGATCTGAATACTTCATCAAGTCCATAATAGTTCTCATGATATAAAACTCTATAAATTAATGCTACCTTAGATATATTAACGTAATTAACATGTCAAAAAACCCATCTTGTGTTTTTTAGTTGTCTTTTTTTGTTTTGGTTTGAATTTGACATGTGCTGTATTACTTTAGGTTTTAATTTTGGAAATCTCATCATGGAAAATGAAAAAGATTGAATCCAAAAAATGAGATGTGAAGCTTACTCTTCCTTAGTCATATGATTTGTTGACAAAAGTTAATTAAAATATGCCTTCGGTCATTTTGATGTGATGATGATTTGTAACATGTTTAGCTTATAAAATTTAGAATTGTTTTTGAAAATTATTATTGTTTTTTTTTAAATTAACAAAATAACATAGTTTTAAAAATAATTAATTTAAAAAATAACATAGTTTGCAATTGAAAAACATGATATGTTAAGATGTTGTTTATAGGAATAATAAAATGTTCAAAAAAATTAAATGAGTCGACATAAATTATTATGAGAAAAGAGGAAAGAGAGAAAAAGAAAGTTAGTAAAAAATAAAATTTAGAGGCATATTGAAACTCCAATTA